ATTGGTCTTTTGATTTAGTGAATGGTGACATTTTTGTAAAATAGTATGCGCATGTGGCATTATTGAAAATAGGGAATCAATGTATGACATTTTTGCAAATACCCCTTTTTAATGCCTAAATAAATATTTCAATTATTTTATTTGACTAATTTAATACCTGAACTCTTGTCTCAATTTATGAGCTCGTGTTAATGGAATAGTAACATCCATTATTTTTTAATTTTTTTAATTACATAATTTTTAAATAAAAAAATCAAAACAATTTTTAAAAATTGAAAAAAATTCAAAAAAGTTCCTAAAAATTGATTTTTTCTTTAAAACAATAATATCCCAATATTGGACACGAATATTTAAAATATATTTGAATATTTTATAGGAGAATTGGGACTTTAAAGATTAAGATCTTTTTTGGCCCGTTTAAGGGTTACATATGAATATTGGATCTTTTCAGGGTCTAGTATGAGAAATATCGAATTGCCATTTACTTTCTTAACTTTTCTTTTTTGAACCACATAATTAAATTAAATATTATTTCTTGAATTCATAATCCCGAAAAAAGATTTACAAAGCAATCACAAATGAGAGAATCATATCCTATTACTATAAAGCACAAATCACTTTCTTAAAAAGTGCAACTCTATTCTTATGCCGCGTGGCTTGAATCTCAATTTCTACTATTTTATTTTTCTAATCTTCACTTTGAGTGTTAAAACAAAAAAAAATCTAATTACTTAGAAAAAAAAAAGAAAAATCAATTCAACTTCCCCCTAAACTGCTTATTCCCCCCTCCCCCAGATCTCCACCTCTAGACTTCTCCATAAATCATCTCCACTCAATTCTTCAACATAAAAACAACTTTATTTTCTACTATAATCATTGACATATTTTCCTTCCCTGATTGTTTTTCTCCAGGTAAAAAAACTGAAAATTCGTCTTGATATTCTCAACGAATCTGTCCGATGGATCTTGCTAGGTCAGAAACTCACAATTAAATTTTTAAATCAATGGATATAGTAATTCCGTCGACCTCCTGACGTGGGGCAAAAATACCCATAACCGAAAAACCGAAATTTATTTGATGGTTAGATATACGGAGAGTTTAGAATTTATTTAATGCAACTATTGACTACCAGATAAGT